AGTAAATGTAGTATTATTCGACTTCCTTTATACTAGATAGATAGGAAAAATAGTTACGTTTACGCCACTATTTTTAGTTTTGCGATATTCCAATTAGTTTCGCTACTACAACAGTTTTACGCCGTGTCATAGGTCTGTCCCGAGTAGCCCCGCCTATCACGAGTAGCCCCGGTTGACGGTAAGCTTTTAATTAAGCAAATTTTAATTTTTGTACACAGCTTGGAACGATCTGTGTGTGTCCAATTCAAGTTATGACGGTATTAGTTTTCATGTGTCTAAATCCATTTCTCAACTTAATCATCTATTAATTTATTTACCACTTGAAATCAGCAAATACAAGTATACTTAAAGGATTCCTAACATGTTCACAGATGTATTTAAAAGTATCAAACCATAACATTCTTCCTATACAAACAGTTATTCACTATTTGGTAGAGCAAGGTCAACTGTCAAATTTGACACATTTTTCGATGATCTAACTGGGTAGCGTGCAACGTCTCTCTTTGGATCTCAATATTTTCCCACTAGATGGCCAAGACCTAGTGTTTTGGCATTAGTTCGACGCGCAAATGTATGACATCACCATTTCAACTATTAACAAACGCATGGAACTAAAACAAAGCTTAATATAAAGGAAAAACTAAAGAGGTGACAGAATTACCCACAATGACGGAATATACCGCTTTTACCCTACTTAGCATAAATTTTGCATTATCCAAAAATAGTAAAAATTTTATGGAGGCAGCTGCCAGCTTAAAAATGAATATTTTTTTAATTACAGTACCGTACCTAGGAGGCAACTGGCAAATGGAAAGCATCACAGCTAAGCAGCAAATATCTTTTTCTTTGTGTCTCAAGTTCTCAACAAGGATTTTGTAAATGCCAATAAGTGATGCAATGTGTAAAACAACTCGGTATTCAAAAGAATTTTCTGAAAATCTTTCGAATCTCTTGGCTCTTTGTGTTTGATTATTCAATATGATTCAAAACTATGATGGCCATATGGCTCACATGCTGAGTGCCATGAGGAATTGAAGAGTGCCGGTACATCATTCTGTGTGTGCACTGATTGCTGCAAGTCCTGAAGGCCCTGTATATAGTGTTTCTGTGCCGTTTTCCATGCCAATTGCAGAGAATGAGTTTCCTTTACCAATTTCCCTGAGATTCCTGTGGGCTTCTTAGAGTTAGAGCCCATTTTAAGTTGTAAAAGTACCATGAAAATATGCCCTCAGCTCAGCTGACTGTCACATTCAACTTCTGCAATGTTATCTTGTCTCCTAGGATTTAATTTGTAGTTTAAAATATAACCATATAATATACTCATAATTTTCCCACAGCACATGTCAAGTTTCTTGTTGATCCTGAAGCTGAGCGCCATTCTGCAGTTAATGTTCTTTGCACAGATGACCAAGCTTATCAAGCACATATTGGATTTTTGCAGGTATGCAAAAGTCCTAGATTTGCTTAGGTGTGGAAATGTTCTTTTTATGAATAATTTGAAAGTTGCCACTTGCCCTGTCTGTTTTCTACTCAAATTCAGATTTCCTAAGACAATCTTAACATAACATGAGATTCAGAGGTTGCCATCCATTACCCATTAGTTTAAATTAGTTATGCAAAAACTTTCATTTATGTACGGTATTCCATTTATCTGTGGAATACCAAGTGGCCAACCTTGTTCCAGTTAAGTTGAGATTTGCTGATGAGATGGGTACAAGTCAATTGGATTCCTTTTTCAATTAAAACCATTTGCATCTTAAAAATGGGAAAACTTTGTTTATATAAGTTATAATATAATATACATTATCATATAATTTAAATCATGCTAAATCTGAACATGCATGCAGTGCCAGATCCCATTGCCATGCAAAATGCACTAGTTCTGAGTCTATAAAGTTGCATAACTTCTGAAATACAGGGTGATTTGCTTAAACTTCCTGATTTGAAAGCTCAATACAAAAAAACTAATGAATGTATCATTACAATATAATTTTATTGAAAAAAGGCATTACCTGAACTTTTGTAACACTTGGTTTTGAAGATGATATTGGACAAATGACCACTCAATCAGTTGATCAATTTTTGAAGTTTCATTCAACTTGCTGAAGCATATTGATGAGAACAGTATGTTGGCAATGCCTTGGCATATGTTCTTCAAATGAAGTAGGGTCCTTGGACAGTCATTGTTAGCAATTGATTTAGGATATTCCCATGATGAAAATCACGGGGAGCCAAAATGGGGTGTTGAGACTGCCAAAAAGGTCGCCTCTCAAGGAGATGAGGCAGTTGTGGAGAATGCAGAAATGTCTCTCTAACTCTCTCTGCGTTTTCGGGTGTTGTGGCAGTCCGCTTACCTCCAGAGGCCCTCTTGCATTCACACTTCTACTTGCCCTAAGTGGGGACACACGCATAACAATCAATTTCTTTCCAGGAACCTGACCTGAAGGACAAATATGTAACCGAGTAGGGAATGGCCTTTAGTTAGAAAAGTATATGCCTCAACACCAAATGCATGCTTCTCACATGTTCAATGCATAGTGGCAACTGACTAGGTAGGACACAAAACTTCATGGCCTTGCCTTTCATATTACATAATCCTTGCCCTTTTCATATGACATCTGGCTACTTGGAAGGAAATATAAAACAGGAAGTTTCCATGAATCACCCTGTAATTCAACTATCTCTTGTTGTTCAAGTATTTTGTTATTGGTCTTCAACTCTGTTATTGGTATTCATTTTAGGCAGATTTTCCCCAACCATTTTGTGATTGTATATTTGTATTGATGGTTTCACATAGTCGATGCAAACCGAGTACCTGCTGCTCACCCCTAAAGGCCCTAATAAATCACAGTTGCTAATACAAAGCATTAGTAGCATTTTACTCTACCGTGTGTTCAATGTATGGCATTACATCCATTTACATTTTTTCAATTTCCCTAGCATATTAGTTCACCATGTATGGTACATCGTATTTTGAGGACATGATTTCTCCATTCTAGGAGATAGATATTCCAAACGAGTTTTCTTCTATCAAAATTGATGTCTATAGTGATATTATTTTGCAGCTCTACCACCGCTATGAGGTGAAGTTCCCCGTAATGCTTAAGGTGCCTGCTGCGCAGTACAAAGCTTCTCCACAGCCCAGCCTTGTGGTCAAAAGATTTGAAGTGGAGGTAGGATTCACTTAATTTGTGAATAATTTATCTTGAAAAATTACTGTTATTGGAGAGTTGAGCTACAATCAACAATTTTATATGAACTGATACCTATAGTCATAATTTAAATTATTTGAATCATCAAGGTGATCCAAACTCTGAAAGAGTGCATTTCAAATGAATTTTGAAAGGCTTATAAAATGATAAACAATATAGTTTATTTATGAATAATTTTTTCAATATGTTTGCAATAAAATGATGCTTGATTTATTTTCTTCTTAGGTTTCAAGCGAGTGTGAAAAAGAACTCCTTGTAACACTGGAGCTTCTCCCTCACAAGACCAAGCTATTGCGCGAGAAGCTCGTGCTTCTTGGAGCTGAAGACAACATCATCATCACCTTCAATGCCAGGGTGCTAGGTAGGACTTGTTCAGTGCGCCGAAATCGAACCTATTTCGTGGGCGTAAGCCCGCGAAATTGAACTAAAAACATAGTCATTTAACTCGCCTTCGCGCCGAAGGTGAGGTTTTCCTTTCGGTTAAGTCAGGTAAAACCCAAGGAGGTCACTTTCGCCGAGACTACTAATGGATGACACTTGAAAATTCGTTCTTATATAATATTCATTCAGTCACAGTTTACTGTTTCCTTATGTGTAACAATAGAAGATCCAATTTAATGAGAAATGGGTATATAGCTTCTTCCATATATATGGAGTTTTAATTTGGTTCCCACATTTTATGATGCAACATATTTCAGATTATATTTAGATAGTTCGACAAATTTTGGTCTATGATTATTCCGATGAATGCCTTATTTATACCTACCGGTACTGCTTTAACAATATTTCCTTTTAGTTTCTGGTATTGCCAATAGTTACGAGCTTCATGTGAGAAAATGAGCAGAAGAGTTTGTCAAGAAATGTGCAGGAGTTTTTTTTGGCAAATACTAAAAAATATTGTTACATTAAATATTATTTTTCATTGTACTTTATTATAAGATTATCACCATAATTCTAGCATCTTAAGAATCATACTCAACCCTTACTAACCTTGCCAGATTTTGTATTTATTCTTAAATTTGCTAATATCAATTTCAACATTGCTTTCATGCCCTAAGTAATACAACCCTTTCATTTCAGTGCATGTCATAGCTCATCAGAAATTCTATTGGTTTGATAGTTTCCGGAGGCATTGTTCCTATGCACGCCACCAGCTATCACGATTCACTTGCTAACTGGTACCAGGCCTACGCTGTAGCGTCAAGTTATCTACGTTAAATTCCTTTTATTTTCTTGCTGTTTCGCGAGATGATTTCGATGCCGTGACACATCTTACGAGATTTCTCGCTTCTGTTGCTTCTCACCTAGCTTCTCTTAGACCTTCTTCTCTCTAGGATGCTAATGCTGCTTCATCCTCCCCAGCTTAGAGACCTTCCTCTTTGTTTTCAATTTGCAGTGTGAACCTTCACATCTGTTGTAAATCTCGTCTCCGCTATAATACCTCCAGTAAAAATCAATTTCCAGAAGGCATCCGACGTTGAAATAACGTTGATTAAAAGTTCTTTCAACGAAAACAACTCGTAATCAACGTTATTTACCTGGAGGGTTATACCCAATGTGCAAAATACTCACAAAAAAATTAATTCAGTAATGGTCAAGATATGATTGAATCGAGTTTCGCTAACTTGTTTAAAAACTTAATCATCTGTAATTCGCAGGTCCTGGGCAGGGAACGCCATCGTTGCTGCGCGGAGTGAGGCTTGTTGGTGTGGAGCGGGTGGCCGACTCTGAAGTGTCGGACTGGCAAGGTTTTGACTGATGTCGCAGAGCGAATTGAGTATTGTTTGTTGACTACCGCGAAACATTTTAGAATAATTAATTTCTTGCTAGTTGAGTATCTTGTTTTCCTAAAGCATCAAACTTTAGCGAGTGAATTCAATTTTGAAGCTGCTGAATAGTGATAAAAGGCAATCACCCTATAAATGCGTGTCAGTCAATATAGTTGTTATATAGGCTTCCCTGGTCACGTATCGCGCTTGGTTATCACGTGAGTTCTGTCCTCGCCTCAATGTGAGGTAGATGCAACTTTAGGATATTTTTGAACGACGAATATTTTTCAGGCCTTCTTGGAAAAAATGTGCAGCAGTTTTTAACAGATATTCGAGCGTCAGACAACAGATTTAAGTGTTAAGTGAGGCAGGAATGTGTTGCAGCAAATACGTCGTCTAGTGATAATAAGAGAATAATAATTGTAAATTCTCACTCTATGCAGGCTCTGAGATATTCGTTCTATTCTCCTACTGTGATGTTTTTCATCGAACTCTCGGTACAATACTCATGAACGTAACAAACAAGAAGTTATAAGTACTATCAAATACCGTTAAAGAGCTTATGTATGGGTGATTTTAAGTAGCCAGTAGGACGGATCACTACGGTATTTTAGTAAGTATCGATAAATCTTGTTTGCTTTAGGCTAATTTAGGGTGAACAAATGCAAAAATAGTCCAGTGGGAAGTAGTCATGAAAGGAGAAGATGGTACGAGTTGATTAATATCATATCAATTGTATTTGAAGAGAATTTACATCATAATATGTACAGCTCTTCAGTTTATTTACTACATTTACACACCGTATACATTTACTCGTAATTTAATTTATAAGGAATTGTGTATTTTTTACGGATCTACCCAGGATTAAAGTTAACTGTAATTATATCTTTTTAATTTTCGGCAAATTCGTTAACCCGGATGAGAATTCTATAACAGAATAAGTGAAAACTAATGAAGTAGAGGGCAGATTAAAATAAATAACACTTGTGAAAAATAGGTTAAGTACACAGCAAAAATTCATGGTGTACTCTCTCTCGATGTGGTTAAATTACAACTGTCTCCGATTATTTTTGCCCGAACTAAAATGAAGTCTGTTCTAGGCATCGATTCGCCCTGTGTGGCTAGAGACGCGGAAGCATCAGAGGTATCCAAAGTCAGTGTTTGTGACGGGCTCCTGGGGTTTTGCTACTTCGCCCGCAGCGATGTTTACTTCCAGGAGCGTGTCAATGCTGTTGATGCTGACGCCGCGCAGTATTTTTTGGGCGGCCAGTGAGCTGAAATTCAGCTCCGATAAACTGGGATACGTCCTGACGGAGTTGTTGTCGCCTGCGCCCACAGTCTCAACGGCTGGCACCTGCGTCACGGAACAGTACTTCGTGAGAAAAATTTCAGTCCTTCCAATATTGGCATATTATCATTTATAGTTATAATAGAGAAAATAGAAACAATGTCAAGGGTCTATTTAAAATTGTGAGATCAGTGATGCCATTGCAGCTATTGATGAATACAGGTAATCACGTTAATACATTTTTTGAAATGACAGGATACAGAGATACGAGAGTGCGTCCTTTTTCCGAATTTTGGATACGTTTTTCAACTGCTCACTCAATTGAAAAAGGGAAAAGTTGAACTTACCGGGCTTTTTGCAAGTAGATTTCGCACCGGAGACTTGGAGGATGGCGCTGAAGGGCTGCATGGCTTTTGAGTTATTTTATTGCTCTCTACTTTTTTTACCGGGGCGATATTGCCTTCTTTTTTCTTCTCAGAGGCCTTATTTTCCAACTTCGACTTCGGTAAATTATTTTTGGAGGGAGATCCTGTATCTTTATTCGCGTGCCGGGAATACATTAATGTCCTCTCGCATGGTGCCCCTGCATGTTGTTTCGCTATGTACATTTTTTTATCACATTTATTAGTATCTTTGTACCCAAGATTTTTGGTGGTGAGATCTCTTGCAGAGGTTTTACTATATTTATTAAGATTTTGAATCGGAGGAGGATGTGGCTCCTGACGCTGAGCAGCCATTCGTTTTGTGTGGCTATTAACGAGATCTAACTGAAGAGCAGCTCGGTTGTATTTCATTGTCATCTTATTCGCTGCCGTTTTATTTCCTCCAGCGATTTTTGTAGGGCTGCTACCGAAACACGAATTCTTATCAGACGTGTTGCTCTTGCTTGCACTGCTTTTATTTCTACTGGGGCCTGCCCGACCAGCTTCAACTTCGCCCTTATTAATTTTATCAGCTATTTTATTTTTATCTTCAACGTTTTCAAGCGAACCGGCACGTGTTCTCTCTGAACTTTTCCGATCTCCTGACCGACTACGAACTTCCAGCTGAGACTGATACGTTTTTTGAGACTCATTAGTAACTTCAATTATTAGAAATTCGTCGGAACAATCAAGCAAATAGTTTTGATCCTCGGAAGTTGTCGCTGATCGAGTCCTGTCTTCAGAAGAATCGCGGTGAGATGAACGTTGGTCTGGCAAGATACCTGAATCAATTGACGATGATAGATTGCTAACCATGTGATCAGTCATAGAAGTGTTTAAATTGTATGTTTTAGTCTGTTGGTTTGGAGACTGATAAATAGTATGTGAAGTTTTATAAGGACTAGTGACGCCTGGCCTGTTAGGGCTACCATCAGGTACTTGGGGTTTGATTCGATGTGCCAGAAACGGAATAGCTTGAGCAGGATGAGCGTTAGTGTGATGTTGCTGGACATGGTCATGCTTGCTCGCTTGGGGCTCATACACAGCGTCATGAGAGCTGCTGAGGGCGTGTCTGCTTGAGCCACCCTCGGGAGCTGCAGGAATTGAACTATTCAAGGGGAGCGTACGAGAACCTTCCCTTCGCTGAGGGCTTGCGTGATGCACATGGTGGTTGCTAATAGCGTTCTGCTGCAAGGCTCCCACCATACGGCGTGGACTGGCACTTAAGGTTCTTCTGTGCATAAAGTCGTAATGAATAGAAGAAGGAATAGGAGGTCTTGGCGGGAGGCCGTCTATCGCGTAACCATAAATAGAGTAATTACCGTGAAGCGCTTGCTTGTTGCATGCAAACTCATCCTGTTGTTGCTTATTATGCTGATTATGAAGAGCCATGTTCTGGTAAGGGTTGGAGTACGCTGCGTTGTGGGAGGTGCATCCTCCCTGCAGTGCGTGAGATGGGGACGGAGATCGATGGCGGTGACGATGTGACGGGGACGGTCCATTCGACAGGACCTCGGGGGCGGCGTGGAACGTGGAAGACAAGGGTCGTGCGTGACGACGAGGCAGGGACGAAGATCGGGATACCCACTGGGACGAGGCCGTCGCAGTGTCTTCAGGAGCCGCCTGTAGAGTTGACGCGTTTTAGTACAGAATTATTGAATTGATTCACTGAAAGTTTTCGAGACGAACCACAATTTGATGAAAAATCATCTCAATGTCAAATCAAAAAGTGTCAAGCGAAAACATTCTTTGCAGTCACTTGCCTCGCAATTTGCAGTTTATAAATATCCTAGCTACACGCAAAAAGTTTGTAAGCGTAAAATTTAATGTCATGGAAATCATGTGACTGCGCAAATATTTTGTATCTCGATAGGCCTATAATAATAGGCCGTAAGAGAAAACCTCACCGCTAGCTGCGTCACTAGAGGCGTCTGTGTGGCCCGACAATGTCCGTGCCGTTGGCAAGTGTTCGCTCTGCTCCACTCAGGGGGCGGGAACTGAGCCGAGAAGCTGCCCATACGAGGGCTCGAAACTCGCAGTAGTTTGCTCAGCATCGAGCCGCTGCGGTCCACTGCTCAGCCAATGAAAGATAAACGTAAGAAGTCCTAACGTTCAAAGAGATCATACCTTAAACATGATAAATATTTACTCGTTTTGTGAGAAATAACCAAAGGAAATTCAATATATAATAACTATTAATGAGACGGTAATCAGCAGGTAAGCAGACATCTAATTATTCTTCTCCTAGCTAACGTTTTTACTTACCTCTAACACTTATATCGGTGAGGTCTTTGCCGAAGTAAGTGGCTATTGCAGTAGTCGACACAAACGTTCCTAGTTTGCCAGACCTCAGGGATGCCGCTCGAGCATCGCCATCGTCAGGCGCAGGATGGTTGTGATGGGTAAGCAGGTCAGCGAGATCAGTTTGCACGGCCGCGTGGGTGATAGAACCAGCAGGAATAACTTCAGCGGCGCCATGGGCTCGGGTCAGAGCTTCGCTCGTAGTCATGAGCCGAAAAGGCGGATGGTGAGCAAAATCCGGGAGAGTGGCGCTATGGCCATACGTCCCAGGAGTAACTAAAGAATATCCTTTGCCTGCGTGGAAAATTCTCCGCTGTTTGATTAATTCCGTTAACGCGGCGTGTGTAGTTTCCTCATCAGGCGGGATGAGAGACGGGAAGTGGTGTATCAACGCGTCGCGCAAGTCTCTCATGGAGACGTTGCTGCCTCCTTCAGCGTGCAAAACCCAGCATAAAGCTGGGCCCAGGGGAGTGAACTGCCCCTTCTGCACGGGAGTAATGCGGCACCCGCTCACTTCTCCTGGAAACAGAAAAGAAAAATCAATGTTCACGCTATTGAAATGTTGCGTAAAATTACTTGTACAACGCTAAATTACGCGTGTAATTTGGAATTGCATAATTCTCGATATAAAATATCCAAGTTGGACGCAACTTGAGATAAGAAGAGAAAGCGTATCAGTGCAGACAATGCACATTGGAAAATTATTCATCATAGTTACTTAGGCGTTTGACATGCAATCTAATTCTAGTCAATAGAATATTGCTGGGAAGCCTAAGGGCTGCATGTGCAGTAAAATTCTGAAAGTTTTTGCAGACACGCAAAATTTTATATACGATATTTTTTGTTTAAAAAGATTTAAAAGATACAAAAGGACAAATTTCTGGAAGTTGTTCTTCCCGCAGAAGACGTTGCTCTAACAACGCAGCCGGTCCACCCAGCTCCCCGTCGTAATTGATTGGATTTGCCGGCACCTCCCCACGGGAGAAACACACGCACGCCAAGCAGCTGCGTCAGCACTCCCTGATCTCAGGCGCATCAACAATACTAGAAAGCACGCCAACAAAAATCAAAGTAGGCGTTGATCCAAAGTAGAAATAAATAACCAAGGTCTGGCACAGAATAAATAAACGATAATTTCAAGACGCATCCATAATACTAAATAGCAGGCCACCAAAAATCACAGTATTCGCTGATCTGCAGCAAAATTACATATCCAAAATATAGCGCAAAATAAGTAAACAAGATGATTGACCAATTCTTCATTGTGAAAATCTATGCTTGGTATCTCCTGGGCCGAGGTGAAAAAACTTTTCACATTAGCGTCTGGCAAGACGTTTCACTGAAACTACGTTCTCATAACAGTTAAACGCAAAACCTTACAAGCATAGGAAGGAGCGTCTTCAATTCAATGGTCCAAATAACGCAACCGATGCACGCTGATCGTGTATTTTTAAAGGAGCGCAACTTCCATGCAGTTTTGTCCAGTTTTTATCCCTCCGGAACGGTTCGTAGGGTGTGCATTTTATGGACTTAATATTAGCTCGCACGCGCGTCAGTATTGAGTGTAATATGTTGAGCAATGGGGTCGTCCCTAGATATTAAGTTTTCAATTTATCCTGGGAATGTGATAGCCCTTATTAAACAGAAATATTTTTCGTACTGAAACAAAAATTGTAGTCAACATCACAGCGACCGTTTTCGAAAGTACTATTATAGGTACGTTCAGTAGACTTCGTCGAAAATTATCATAAACTTTAATATTGTGCGATCGAGCAAAATTTATTGTCGATTTAAAATAGAACTATAAAACTTTCCAAGCGTATTTACAATGTATAAAATCCATAAGACGAAAGATAAAAAAAAACTTGCAAAAAAATATTTTTCCAGGAGTTCAATTATCTTTATACCGAGAACGCTAGACGCTCTCAGAGTAAGCGGTATTGCGGTCAAAGACTTAATTGTGCATTCAACGCCTTGGCGTCGGCCGATCTGTGAGACAGCCAGAGCGATCCAGTTCCCAGTTTATTATATGCTGACCAGGGATTGCATTCTCAAAAATGATCACAGACCGTATCTTCAACGGGAGTCATAACGCGAAGTTCTGCATGGTATTATCAGGCTTGGTTATGAACCTCCATTGAAAATAGTAAAAATTGAATTATTCGAATGCGTCATTATTGAATGCATGAGCTGGTCGATTTATTAGCTTGTCCCCACAAATTCAGCATTATAAAAATCATCAATCAACAATGAAAGGCAAACGTGTTAATATTTTCGGATGATGCTACCATGCCGTCCTGTTCAGGCTTGTCATCTGCTGACCAAGTCGACGCTAGGATCGCTCTTTGAGTTGGTGCTATAAACGCCCTCGTCCTTTTAATCAACGACTCCGGCTGGGGGAGCCTAAAGCCAATTAGATGTCAGGCTTTTCCCTCATTGTCGGCATCCAATCAACTTCGTCATCGCCGTCGAACAGAACGGCCGCGTGAACAAAATCACGCACAGAGTTAGGAAGTTTCATTCGTTTGTTTTGTGAAATGTTTGAATGTCGAAATTTTTCGGCGCAATTAATCTCTTAGCACCAACATAGCTTGAATATTTATCATGAATCTCGATATAATAAATAACAGCACATAACATATACGTATATATTATTTTATGTAATAATCCGTTACCTGCATTCCCCTGTAAATTATCCGGAACATATTCCAAGTTTTAATCAAATCATTCAGAAATAAATTTGTCATTAATTAATGGCATTCGCTTTAACACCGGAAACAATGCTACAAATATGATAGAAGATGATTTGCTTCGCGTAGCTAATTAACGAGCAAAATCACCATAAAACCCAAAATGAATTTAGCTACAAAGCACAGTAAACACGTCGCTTTGCACTATAATTACGTAATAGTTGATTCAACGAATGGGCTTCGTATTAATGAAGCCGTTTTAATTTATAATACAAGAAGATACTTTGTAAAAATTCAAAGCACAATTAGTTGCATTGGATTGACAGAATTTTCTGCAGTTTTACTATGAAAAAAGTTAAAATATCAACTTCACAGTTATGGCTGCATTTTGCCAATATGTGGTGCTCAGTTTGAGCTTGGGAAATTTTGTTTATACATAATTTCTACTGATTTCCAAGAAAACTAATATCTGCAGTACAAGTAAGAAAAAGTCAAGCGAATCGCCAGTTCCGCTTCTGGTGTAGTTCTTTACTTGAGGATCATCAACGGCTCCGAACACGGGCAATCAGATCCTATAATTGAACCATAAATAAATTGAACCACGGTAAAGTTATTTGTACACGGCAATTCCTAATGATCAACATGAACGTGGTTTTTCGTTGCCATCCTTAATACAAAACTTTAATGTCTTTTGTTAAGTGCACTACACAAAACAAGATATTTTTCTATCTCTTGTTACTGTGGAAAGACGAAGTCTGGAAAAAAAAATTTCGACTAATGAGGTAATCGCGACATAAAATTAAATAAAACTTCAAAAACTCCAACTCAATATAACTCGATTCAAATGAGAAAATAAATCAAGTCAGCACATCGTTATTCAGATTTTCAGTAAAAATGGCCACCCTAGACGAAAATAGTCAACGTAATTGCACGTTGCAGTGAAGTGCAGAGCTAGGAAGTGCGGTTAGCTTGAGCCCGCCCGCACTTTTCCAAAACAGGGAGTCCGTTACGCCAGAGCACTCAAGCACGCCGGAACGACTAGGTTGTTCCGCACATGCTGCACTGATCGTCGCGTCACCAAACACGAGCAAAATCCACGTTTTTAGTCGTCCAAGTTAGTTCCTGGCCTAAAAAATTTATGTAAACTTTGGAATAATTATAACCAGAACTTAAGAATTGCGATTCGCACTTCAGATAAGGAGATGGAAGCAAGTATATATAATATATTGATAAGTAAACATTACATAAAATACTTGTGGAAGAATTTTCATGACATGCGACTTAGATGGTTTATCAGTATTTTCGAAAATGTTGAAATCAATAAAACTGACATAGGTACTTACTTCAAAATTCATTCGTAATTTTTGTCGTACGCAGCAAGTCCAAAAATACTCGCCAATTGCTAAAAACTTCAATCTTTCCAACAACTCTTACGATAAACAAAGAAGAAATAAAAACGCATACAAAACTTCAGCCCGTCGAATAGCATCATGAACATGAACGAATGTATAAGACTGTTGCCACAGCACCATTGAAAATGTCCAGCAAAATGTTTCTCCAAAATTGTATTTCTTGTGGCAGATCAAAATGCGACAAAAACCCTAGTCGCTTCGGTGCAGCAGCAATGAAGTCACGGGTCACCTAGCGCGTGCAATCGCGGCCAGCGTGTACACGAAAAAGCGCATCGACGCTATGCTGATTTTTTCAGCACGCATTTCTTATGATGCAGCTAGCCGTAGCACCGGAATAACGCGAGAACGCGATCGAGGCTCTCTCCGCATGTCGGGTCAGCAAGCACTTTTTACGCCATTTAATCCAAGGGAATACAACCGACTGGCGTGGCATAAATAGATGTTGCCGACATATAAGAAGAAATCTATAGACATACGTAGTACCCGTGATCTTCAACCAACTGATGTACGAGTGAGTGTCCATTATATTTCCGATTCATTGGAGGCGATATGCCTTGTTTCTTGGAAAAATTATAATGAATCTTTTAGAGCGAGAAGCTTCATGGAAACAGACCAAGCGCCATTGAGTACCGCCGGCATATATTTTCCACGAACGTCAGAAGTGAACTTTCTTAGTGTCACAGGTTCACCAAAAACCGTCTGAAAGTTACAAACATTTTATATGAACCGTGATTCTAACGTACTTTCAATAGCCGAGAAATAATCACATAATTGGTAAAAATCTGATCACATTTAATTTCATTTGATGATAATTTATGGCGCATCAAAGCGTTGAGCATTCCACACGAATAACTGTTAAGAGCTGTAAGCCTGACCTGAGGCGTTGAATTGTCGGCTATACACGAAGTTTCAATGCTGCAAAAACAGCAGACATGAAACTCGTTACTCGACTGGACGATGTACATCACTTCAACATTCATTTAGGCACAGACGTACGCGGTTCTTTAGTGTTAGGGCTGCCAAATGAGTTATCTTCATTTGGACTCAGATATATTTGGTAAAATTAATATTAAAAACAGTATAGGAGCCAATGTGTTGTAGTGCATGGACGCATCACAATGCGTTGTTAAGCGAAGCTCTCGTGAAAAAATTAGCGCAACTGGTTATACTACACCTGCAGTATTTAGGAACAATGAAATATCCATCGCAAGAACAGTACAATACGTAACCGCCAAATGTGGCATCCCCAACAGCAGTCGATCTATATAATGTTTCAGGGCCACAAGTTCCAAGAATTGGCTGCCGATTCAGCAGCTGGAACATCGCCAGATGCGCGATCTCCATGCTGCTAAAATCTTCCAGGAGCCCACGACTCTTGACTCTTGCTCAAACAATGTACGAGCTGCAACAAAGCTCT